TCCTCAGGTCGCACTGCTAGCATCGACATGAGGTACCGCAATTTCTTCGGGTGATTGTAAATTTTTCGAATGACATCTTCTCTTTTCGGTTTTTCTGAGAGGGGTGTACATGATTTTGGGTGGGATGGCGTCAGACAAGTCGGGGATGAGGAAATTCCACAGGAAATTCGAGAAGGCTGTTCGATTCCTAACATGTTGCGGTAATATCGCCGGGTGAAGGAATCGCAATCGAAAAGCAGGAAGCGACGACCAAAAATGAATATCGTTTCTCCTACCTGTGGAATTATAAAAATTTCTGGTCCACAAATAAATTTTCCAAGAGGTTTTCACTCTCAATTTTAATTTAAATCCGATAATGAATTAATACTGGAAATACCTTTAGATCCAGTGGACAGTAGTACTCCACGACCTCCTCATCGCTCCTCTCCAGGTAAATCGAGGGGTACCACACAGGTAAATCCGTCCAATTTTTCGGGATTTTAGTTTTTTTCAGAAGCATACTATTAGGATCCTTCCCAGAATTAGGCCTGCGTATCTCCTTGACTGCAATCGTGTCATCAGTGAGAAAATACATTATTTGATAAAAATCCCCATTCCAAGTGGCGTCGAATGACAGAACCATTCCATCGAACTCTAAAAACCGTCTTCGAGGGTCATCCTGTGGTCTCGATTTTTTCGAATTCACCGGCGCCTTACTCGCCGCTAATTTCGCTAAACGGTCTTGAGTGTAAGAATCCGGGGGCGATTGTTCTCTGTCACCAGGATCTATCCCCTGACTCCGCAAATATTCTTCAGTGAAGACATCACACTCCACCGTGTGGTAAACAACACCGTAAATTGCTGAAAACATTTATTCATAATTTTCCAATTGATTCCTTGAATTTCCCATTAAGTCAATAATACGAACAATAAGAATTAAAAAATGTTGATGATTTCACGTCAATTCCAAAATAATTTCCCAGAAAATTGAAAAATCAAAAAATGAAATTTGAACATCATCGGTACATCGCGATGGAGGGAATGAAAATTGATGATATTTACGAATATCGATCCCAACGTTGAGATCCTTCCAGTGGTAGAATCTTCCTAGATCATCCTTGGGGATTTTACCCCTTCGAACGAGTTTCCCCTGCTGAAATCCAGCATTATCCACTGAAGGCTCAATGATGCACATTGTGTCATCCTCCAAGAAGTAGATGATATTGACGTGACGAATTCGGAAGTG